CCAGGAGGCCTTGCATTAGGGTCCTGGAGAGAATGAGGAGGAAAACAAAACCCCAAACCCATCCTGACCCCCCATGGCAGACTTGCCAAAACCCGGAGATCTCGGTGCTGCAGCAAGTGGGAATGCGCTGTAGAGCACCAGGGGCAGCAGCTGTGCTGCAGCAACTCTCACGCTTGTCTCTGCCTCCTCCTGGCCTGCCAGCCCCTGGGTTTTGCTCCAGGTTTATTGGAGATTTGGCAGAGAAAAACCCCAGTGAGCTTGAGGGAACATTTGCTTTGTGTTTCTTAGCCAGAAAACTGCTGTTTTGGGAGGGGGGCTCGGTGCTCTCTAGCAACAGCAGATCTCTGCTGGAGCTGGCCCTTTGCAGCAAGCCCAGAGGATGCAGGCACCTTCCTGCCCCAGCCAGCAACCGGGCTCCACATTAAAGAAACGCCACTGGTTGATGAATGCAGAAAAGGCAAAGGCCAAGATCTAAGGCCAGGTCCTAGGATATGGTTGCTACTTGGAGAAATCTGGATGGCAAACAGCCTCCAGTCCCCATCCCTGGGGAGGCAGAGGCTGCAGGCAAAGCCCCAGGCCAGGCTTTGATTTGGTGCTGCACCCCCCAGCAGGGCCAGGCTGGGAGAGTGCCCAGGGGCCAGGAGCAGCGAGGCCAGGCAGGGCTGTGGTCACCTGCATTCTCCAAACCCAACCTGCACAGCCTGCGGTATAAAGCCCACCCTGCGCTGAGGAAGGGCTCATTTTTTCCTGCACAGCCAAAAGCAAACAAAAACCCCAGCCAGTTTCAAAACGAAAGCAGGAAATCCTTTTTGCCTTTATGCAAATAGTCAAGTGTTTTACCCTAGGTTTACTCCCCAGCTGTGCCTGCCTTCCCCTGCTTTCCCTGCCTGTTCTCCACACGCTTCTCCTTTGCGGATGCTGCTGTAGCTTTTGTCCCCTGCAGGGAGCGAGCTGAAAGGCCCTGGGTCCCCTTGGTCCCAGCGTACAACCCCTCGCTGCACCCACCCCAGCCAAGGTGCAGTGTGAACCCTGGGGTCTTTGTCTCTCCTTTCTCTGAGCCACGGCCACACAGGCACCACCACATTCTTAAAAACCATGACCAGAGTAGCTGTGAGGCCAAGCCCCAGCATTTCCAGCAGGCAAGATGTGAGGCACAAAGAGCAAGAAATATCTCTATATCCCAGCAAGAGCTTTTCTCCCTGGTAAATTTGCAAAGCCTCCTGTAACAGCACAACCGGCTGCTTTCAGGTGCATTTCGGCATTTCTGCTTTCAATAATTTATAACAAAAGAACCGAGATGTCAACAGATAGGGGCGAAAGGGAAAATAGCCCTGATCCAAAATAGAAAAGAGCGTCTGCCAGCCATTTTAGATGAGTTTTAAATCTCCCACAGAACAAGGCTGCCAGGGCTCAGGTACAGCCTTGCCGATGGCCGTTTCCAGGATCACTTTATTCTCTTCCACAGGAAGGAGGCAGGTTTTATCCATCTGTTCAGAGAGGTTTTTTCTGCCTCCCGCCTGCAGGGACTGGCAGCACCCCACCAAAACCAGCCAGGACCAGAGCCCCCTTCAGCCACCCCTGCTCAGCTGTGAGCCAGTCCCCCCATTCCACAGGGCCACAGTTTACTTTTTCCTGCTCATTTTTAACCCCAGCCTCCTGCCACATGAGCAGAGCGCCCCAGGAAGGCATCCAGCGCCCTGGGGCTGTTGTGTCTTACAACAGGGCTCATTCCTCCCATGGATTTTGCTGCTCCTTTCTGTTAACCCTTACTACTTACCCACTGGCCAACACCAGCAAGATAAGAGTTCTCTGGGACACAGAAACACGAACTCCAGCAGATGAGCAATCATCTCTACACAGGGAGAAGCAGCAGCAGGGAGCTGCTGGTGAGGGCAATTTGAGGTGTCTCATCTTGCTCCAAAACAGCGGACAAGTCCTGCTGCCTGCAAGGCACAAACTGCAATCCCAGCTTCCACAGCAGCTTCAGGCATCCCCACCCTGCATGTTCAGCTACCCAGGACTTTGGATTACGTGTTCCCTTCTGCTGCTGCTCTTACAGCAGGCACAGATGAGACAGCCACTGGCACCAGCATCACCATCTGCACACATGCTCTGTGTCCGTGGCACACCAAGCTTCTGTAGCTCTGTCCTGTGCTTCGAGCTCTCCAACTACAAAAGCACAGCAAATTACTCATTATTTTCTCCTGGGGAAGTAATGACTTGCTTGCTTTGGCATTTCTTCAGCAGTCCTGAAGGAAGCCTGAGAAGACACCATGCGAATCACCTCCAGAGCACCTTGCGTGCTCCCATACTCGCTCCAGCAGCTCCCCTGGACAGGCTGGACGATCACCTGAGCTACAGCAGGGAGCTCAAGGTAGCACAAGCACAACAGGGCTGATGCTGCTGGAGCTGAACTTGCCTGGGCTAAGGGACGAGCATCCCTGCATCACTTCCAAACCTGGGAGGAGGTACTGTATCCATGGCTGTCCTGGACAGAAGAGTGCTTTAATCCTACTTCATGTATGTTAAAGGCAGCCATACTTGCTCTAATACCACAAGAGTCACTTCTGGTCAGTCACAACCTGCCTACAAGCAGGTTTAATAATTAAAAAGTATATTTTTTTTAATAGGAAAGGACCTTTGGTAAAGCATCCAGCCCTTCTGATCTGAAGGTTTCCAGAGCAGAAGAGCTTTACCTCCTTGGGACAGTTCTCATACCCTTGTGTATCACCCACCCAATTAAGCACCACATTTTAAGTCTCTGCTCTCCCCACTCCAACCCCCACATTTTATTAAAGTAACTTAAGAAAACAGTACCTACACACAAATAGCAATGGTCGCCTTTGTACAGAGCTTTGGCTGTAAAACTCATGTTCTGTTTCTTCTCTAAGGAAGGTGAAGTCTGCTGCATCGCCCTGGCAAGACCTGCATCACCCTCCTGCTATTTGAGGAAAAAAAATATAGTTCACTTATTCATTGACCAGCAGTGAAATGTGTTTTAACAGACGGTTGGCAGCAGTGATTCTCAGCAAAAGTCTACTTTCTTTTGTATTTTCCCAGTCTACAATATGCAATGAGAAAGGATCATGGTTGAGTCAGAACAGCCCCACTGCACGAGGGTTAAACCTGATGACCTTCCAAGGTCCTTTCCAAATACCACCACTCCATGATCTACCTTGCAAGCAACCAGAACCAGAGGATGCCCATCACCTCTGTAAGGTTTTTAGAAGCATTTTAGGCAGAGGCCATGGTTTTTAAATAAAAGTTTAATTCCTTCATCAGGTCTTAAGTTCAAACACAAATGCTGCTGAAAATCCTCACACCGCTGCTCTGATGTCCTGGCTCTTGGCTCTCGGGCCATGGGCAGTGCGGCAGCAGGGGCTCCAATGCAGGAGGCAGGAATCAGACTCGGTAGAGCTCAGTGCAGGATGCGAAGCAAAGAAGCAAGACACACACACACACTTTCCAGACAAACACCAATTCTTATACAAAAAGAAAAACCCTACACTGTAATAGAAGTGTTGACGTTGCCACAGGACAGGAGTTCTAGGAAGGGAGAGAAGTCTTCAGTAAAAGGCACAGCTAAAGAAGTACTTCCCTAGATCTTAAGTCTTTCAGTTCCACTTATACCCCAGCCCCAATTTCAAGTTCCTTCTTTTCCCTTTTTCCCTTCCTCCAGCTAAAGAACAAATAAAAGAGAGTGCTTATGAAAACCAGAGCACAAAACAGCTTTGTCTATACCTTACGATTGTCTGGTACAGTTACTAAGTATTCAAGTTTCAGATGATATCCAGGAGCCTCAGCCAGCTCTAGGTTTGGTATTTTCCCTTCAGGCACTTTGCTGCCTGTCAGGTTGGTGTTACATCCAGAGTTTTCCCAGTACTACGTAACACCAGCCTCTTCAACCCATTGCCAAAAGCACTCGATAGCAGCATCAGACCCACTCCAAGTGCTTCTTCCGGTTTTTGTAGTCCTGCAATTTCCTATGCGCTTTAAGAACCTGTACAAGGAGCAACACTTCCAAGGCAAGGCAGACAGTGACCGGGACAAGCAACCAGAATGTGTCAGTAACTTACAGCGCAACAGGGTTGCAAGGCATTGAGGGACTAAGACAGCTGGACACAAAGCTGTTGTGTATTAGGTCACCCCAGCATCTGAGCAGGCACTTGCTAGATGCAACAATGAAGCTACTATGGGATCAAGAGGCTCTGTTTACTACTGTACTGGTAAAAAAAGAACCAGGGATTTGCACAGCAAGTCAAGGTGCAGCTATAGTACATGGCAGCAGCCCTCCAATCGCTAGCAAGCTGTGAAACTGAGGAACTGGTTTAACCTACGCTAGAAAGTAAAGCACGCAACCACCATAAGAGGGAGAAGAACACTTGTCCAGGATGCACCTTCACCACTGAGTTAACACAGCAAGGCAGCGCTGCACAGACTATGCTCTCACCTTCACTTTGCTGTGTAGCGTGGTAAAGGACATTTAATTTCATCAATAATTAAGAAGAATTCAAGTTTGCAAGCTACGCTGACCTCCTTTAATGCGAGGACGCTGTAGCAGAACCTCTTCCCAGGCGTCCCCCAGGGCTTCACCTACAGTCAAGCCTGGCCAAGATACAAACCTACCCCATCGCTCTTCAAGGGCTTCTGTCAGGTATAGTGGTAAGACAGCCAGCAGTCTCTGGGCTCTTGCTGCAGATCCAGATTAACATGTCCTGGGGAGCTCTACTTCCCAATTTAGGGTGCACATGCCAGATCATCTAACCCTGCCCACACACAAACCCTATCCCCCCCCCCCACTGAAAAGAATTGTGGCAATTGGCCATGTGTCAGTCCTGCTCTCCACAGATCTGCAGGGCTGAGTCAATGCTACTGATGAGCCCCAGGGCACAGGGTTGCTGGTGGAGTTGGAGTGTTACAGAGATGAGCTTCCTCCCCCAGCCTCCCAGTGTTGGGACCAGAGCC